GAAAAGTACAACGGCCTCAAGCTTTTTATTGGAAGGACACTGTCTGAACTTGGTCCAATGCTGACGCACGCAGTCTGGGTTTGATGCAAGGCTGTGACGCGCTGCATATTGAGGGAGGCGTTGTCTGTCTGGTCACCATCTAGCGGAGCTGAGAGTCTCGGTAGATTTCGGGCATTCAGTGGTTGATTTCAGGAAGCTGACCTTCCTGATAGGTACGCGGACACCATCCTGAAAGGCGGCCCACCCCTACAACACCCAGACTTGTCACAGTAACTGTCCGTCAGATCAGACGTTGGCGATCTCTCTGCTTTTTCCACTCTGATATGGGCACAAAGTAATCCTTGTCGAACACCATTTTGTGTACCAAACCTTTGAAGAACTTCACGTATACGTTTATGTGTTCGGAAGTCGAAGGACAGAAAGAACACATCATACGGACAAACGCCTGGGGCATTCCTTGTCCAGGAAGTGCGTCAAAGGGAATAGGTCGGTCGAATGTATCAGACACCCCCTTTATGCTTGAGAGTACCACAATTGTGCATCGTTTTTGAGTTTTGTCTAGTGTGTGCATCTGACGGAGTGTAAAGATTTGGTCTACTCAAACCATACAAAGACGAATCACCGCTTGCTGCTCCTAAGTCGATGCTGCGTATATCACCGTAAAGCGAAAGAGGAGAAGTGACAAGTCTAGTCATGACAAGAATCATTATGACTGGAGTCAAGCAGACTTCTATGTGATTGTCTTTTTTGAAAACTAACACTATCTCCGACTCTTTCTAGATTTCAAAGTAAGTTTACTTTTCCCGGGTGCAGGCAAATATATAAGACAAGCGCTGATCGAGGACTTCACTACCATATTTGAAAAATAAAGGTGTGAGGGCATCCAGACCAGGATCTCGGTGGTACTTCAGAAAACGTTTAATGTCATGAATCTTCGAGAGCGTAGTTGGTTCCAGGTTGATTGTCCAGGCTTCTACATCAGGATCATACTGAGGGGCGGCAGGTGGCTACGAGATGGGTTGTTCAAATCGCTTGGTCCTGTGTTCAAGGCGGACGTTTTCATTCAGGATGGTCATGCTAACTTGAACATTGATTGTTTTGCTCACAGATGTTTCCAGTTGCCAGCCCCGCGAACCAACTGGTCATTCGCGCTTTCATTCTCGAACCAAGATGTCTCAGTGCTTACAGCGCGAATTTACTGATCGGAAGGTCCTTAGTTCGAACCCAACCTCTGCCTATCGACTTCCCCCATCCAGGCCTAGGCAACCTGGCAGTATCCCATCCCTAGTGCTTTCTTTGGGTGGCATGACAGCCAGGTACTGAAAGGGTGCTACAGCTGAACAATAATAATAATAATTTTTTTCGCGGTTTTCTGGGCCTCTTCCATTTTCTCAACCTTTTGTATCCAACGGGCATTTTGGTCAGCGAGCACATTAAGTTTGACTTCGCATTTGGTAATTCATCAAACTGAGTTGTGTCCGGTGCCGGCGGGAACATTTCTACGAAGTTTGGGCAGCGCTAATATTTTGTCTGATATAGGGCAAATGGGCACCGTGGGTGGAAGGGGGGGGGCGCCGTGCCACAGGCGAAACTCTTGGCAACATGCAAAGATGTGATGATATCTTTCCAGCACGATATGACATCTGACAGTGGGGTAGTCGGAAGAGACCCCGGAAGACGGCTGTTATAAATTCAGTTTAACTTCAGGACCTACCAGTTCCTCAGATGCTAAGCTGTAGTCAGCACACAGCTGAGGCACTCTTTCAGCATACATATCAAGTCCAGTCTGCGCCGACCATCTCACTGAATCTCAGGTGCGCTGAGCCCACTCACTTGTCCATTCAGATCTCCGGCAGCCACAACGACA